GCTCAGGTCAGTGGCCAAGGGACTTGTGTAGGGCAGGTCCCAAAAGGAAATAAAAAATTGTGTGCTACTATAATTGAGCACCCAAACTGGAATGCCTCCCATTGGATAACCCTGGCCAGAGGTGCCTAGTGGGCATGCTCGCTGAACGGGCTGACCCCCTTACTTGGCTGGATCGGTCTTTAATGCCTCCCGGGAATTCTGCCTGATGGTGATAGTGGTGCCTAGAATCCTCTACCATCCAGCTGAATATCCCATTCTTTACTGGTCCGACCGCCCCCGGGCAAAAAGGGAGCCCATTACCACCCTAACCATCGCTACCCTATTTGGAATAGGCCTGGCAGGGGCGGTACCGGCATAGCCTCTCTGGCCACTCAGCACTCCAGCCTCACCTCCCTCAGGGCGGCCATCGATGAGGACCTAGACCGTATTGAAAAATCCATTAGCCACCTTGAAAAATCCCTAACTTCCCTATTCGAGGTAGTCCTCTAGAACCGGAGGGGACTGGACCTACTGTTCTTTAAGAATGGTGGCCTCTGTGCGGCTCTAGGGGAGGAATGTTGCTTTTACGCCGACCACACCGGGGTTGTTCGAGACTCTATGTCCAAACTTCGGGAAGGCCTAGAGTAACGAAAAAGGGAAAGAGAGGCCAGGGAAGGCTGGTTCGAATCTTGGTTCAGCCAGTCCCCTTGGTTAGCTACCCTCCTGTCTGCACTAGCAGGGCCGATAGTAATCCTCCTGTTACTGGTCACCATAGGACCTTGTATTCTAAACCGACTTGTGACTTTCATCAAAAACCGAATTAACACTGTCCAACTTCTGGTCCTCCGCCAACAATACCAGGCTCTTCATCCCCTTGAGAATGATTCCTCAATATAGCCCCCCCCCCAAAAAAAGGGGGGGGAATGAAAGGATGTGCCCTTTGCCCCAGCAGATCCCCATAGCAGAAACCAGTAAAGCCAGCACAGGATGCCCCGTGCAGGATAAGAAAAACAGGATGGGGGCAGGTGGAATGTGAGGAATGTGAGGAATGTGAGCAGATTGCAAAAGACGACTAGAAGTACGCGCAAGATGTGCCCTGCCTACTTGCTAAATATCACCGTGTGCGCGAATACTGACCCTTGAATCTATAGGCTAAGAAGTAATGTACTCTTAAATGGATAGGCTGGAAATGTATGTGGTGTTACAAACTCATTGGCTATGTACTGTGCGGGCTTTTGCTGTAACGGCCGGTAGGGGCCTATATAAGATCTTCCCTAAAGAGGCTCGGGGTCTTGCTGCCCAATCGGACCTGTGTGTCTGTGTGGGAGCTTGACCCTGGCTTGCCAGCTCAATAAACTCTGCTTTGTTGATTGCATTCACGCGTGACTCTCTGTCTCTCGGAGGAATAGGATTCTCGGACCCTAACATTAGCACTTATAATAATGAATTCTCAGTATTAAAAATTTCCTCTGACTACCTGACATAGATTCTGCCATTTGAATTTAGTCCTGATTAATATCATTATTGTCTCATTCTATAAAGGAACTGAAGGTTTATTATGTGCTCATGCCAGAGATTACTATGTGACAGATACTATGCTGAATGTTTGTTATACTTTATTTCATTTAATCCTAACATTATTATGAGGAAGGTATTATTATACCTATTTCACAGGTAACAAAATAAGGCTCAAGGAACATAGTAACATGCTCAATGCCATCCTAGTCATGAAACCAGAATTTTGGACCCAAGGCCCAAACTCCTGAGATTCCATATGCCAGGTCCATCCACCCACCCTTAAATGCCAAATAAAGAGTCATGATGAAGACAGAAAGATTAATTACACAGCTGGGAACATGCCATGGGAAGAGGCAGAGTAAGCACTCAGCTTATCTTTAGCATTCTTCAGGGTACAGACATGAACTATAGGTCTAAGCAGACAAAAGAACTTGGGGCAGGCGACAAAGGTAGGCATACTTAAACAGCCCCAGTCACAGGTGTGTTCTGCTTGACCATTATCTCAGTCCAGTTGTTTCCAGAGGGGTTCTAGAGAAGACGTTACTGCTGTCATCACTTGAGGGAAGCAATCTGGTTCCCATGAGATGATTACTTCTGATCTAGGGTGCAGCCTTATCATTATAGGTAATTGTCATCCTTTAGAGGGTGGTCTGTCCTGCACATTGCACTGTTCCTTACGGGAAGTTTTCAGTACCTTGTTGTAAAGATCTTACCAGTTTTGTCTTTTCTGGAATCCAAGGTGATTGCAAAGTGACTACAAAGAATGGTTTAGAGCAAGGGCAGATACTAAATGGAGGCAAGGATGTGAAGTTTCTCCTGTTTTTAGTAAATTTGTGTGCCCAAGAAAGTGCTTTTCAGGAAAGCAGTTTGAGCACCTAATAGTAACTGGCAAACCTAGAAGCCATGCCTAGATTTGTCTCTAGATCATTGTAAAGGTACAGCCGATTAAGAGATACTATCAAAGATGATTCCTTTCCTACTGCGGCATACATGGTAATTAGTCTCACTCTTCAGGAAGTTTGTGCTAGAAGCTTGACAAAGCAGACCTCTATTGCATTATCAAAACTCAGATAGTTTAAAAGTGTTCAAATTTACTACAGCAAGTTTGCAATACTCACAGAGCTAAGTGAGATACTGATAATTATTTAATAATCTGCTCTCCAGGATGATAAAAAGAATCTTGATCCACAGAATATGCCAATTTCCATGGTGCAAATAATCCTACCATGGATGATTTCAAACTACTAATATGATTTCAATCATACACAAAACTCCTGAAATTCTAAGTCAGCTCCATTGTACCAGTAGCTAAAGGTACAAAATTTCAATTAATTAGTTTTGATTGACTAAAACTATAGGCACTGCTCTATTCCCTATAAAAAGGTAAAGCAAAAGTGACTGACAATACAAATAATTTGCAAGGATATAGAGCAACCAACACTCTTAAATCTTGTTGGTATTTGTGAAGGATTGCAAAACTTTAACAATTCTTTCTAAAGCTAGACATTTACTTACCCTGTGACATAATAATTTCACACATGATAGCAGAAATGAGTTCATATACCTATCAAAAGACATGTGCAAAAATTTTTCTACCAAGAAGTACAGCCAAGTAGATGAGAAAATAAATAGGAATTTTGAAAATTCTCAATTTTAAGGTCTGGAAAAATTATATACCAATGTGCTGAAAAAAATTGTAAAAGCAATAATGATGTTGTTACCAGTAACCTTTGAGAAATTATGGCACATGACAAATGTGCTAGGTTGTTGGCTCAATTTTCTATAAGGAGGGAAAGGATAAATTTCCAGATGTGGTATTTCCAAACAGCCAACTAAAAGTTTTAAACCCCAGGAAAATTCCAGGTAGTTTATGGATTATGAAACAAATTCTATGTAAAACATTAAAGAGAAGTTGTGGTTGCTGAAACCAACATTAATCAAATGCAAGTCATGATGAAAGCATCAAACTTGCCTCTTTTTAAGTTTTTGTTTTTGTAGGGACTGCAAGACTAATCAGAGAAATGCTATGGAATATAGAATATCAATATATGAAGAGGGAATGTGACAAAGATTACATGAACTTTTAATGTACTAATGTGTACTATGAAGACCCAGAGGAAGATACTGAATATAGCCTATTCTAAATTATTTGGCCATGCAGCCCATTTTATGCAGAGCATCTGCTAAAAATCTTAAAGAACTTGGGTTGGGCAGAACATTGAGAAACAAAGCTTCCACTGGTTAGGCAGCATTTGACATGTTTTTCTCTCCAAACACCCTATTTTTATTTTTTAAAGGAACCCAGCCAAATTAAATCTTTCCAAAGGAGGAGACCAGAATGATGAATTATATAAAGATATAATAAAAGAAATAATTAGGAGCTGTATAAGAGACATCTTGGGGAGTGAGGTTGTCCTAAGAGTCACTTTCTGCTTAGTTTGGGCAACCCAGACTAGAAGTACTATTTAGAAGCTTTAGGGAGATAGCTTTTGGCTGGATATTAAGGTTTTTTTTTGTTTTGTTTTGTGGGACCCACTAGTCTTAGGGTTTATATTTACAGCCTGGAATCACATGGTAGCCCTATTACATCTCGTTAAGCATCCTTGCACTCAACCTCTCAAAAACTCAGTTTCCTTATTGGTATTGTATGGAAGCTCATGGAGGTACTGCAAATAATAAACCCTATATTAAATTTGAAAAGAATTACAATTCCTGGCACACAGTAAGTAGTGAAAAAATGGACTTATTGATGCTATTAGTAACTTAGACCTACCCAATAGTGAAAAGGTTTTTGAATGTTTAACAGTAGAGAACATGCCACTAGTGGAATTGTTAAAACATATTTTTAGTCATTAAAAAAACTGAAAGCCTAATTGGGCGACCTAACAGATAGAGGAGCTGTGACTGGATTCATATCTTTATGAGTTAACAATCACAAAAGGACCGACCTGGGAATGGAGGAAAATATATTAAAGGACCATAACACAAGGATGAAAGTTTTCAAAGTAGCAAGAGAGTTAGAAAATATTATTAGCACAAATATTAATCCTTTTGCAGGAAATATGGAAGGCTTCCTGTTGCCTTCTAGTCTTCTTGCTCTTCCTTATCTTAGGAAACTTCCTGAGTGCCAAGGAATTAATCAGCATTTGAAGAACTGCTGCAGGTGTAAAGGTCAAGCGCTCAGGAATGCCAAGGCTGAACCACTTCTGTTTCTTGCACAGAAGCAGGCGACAATCTTTTGTCAAAGATTTCAGCAGCTGTAAGGTTCTGAAAATGGTGGGTAGCCTTGTAGCTGTCCTGTTTAGCTCTGTGTTTTGTCGCCTGCAAAAAGCCACTTTCCCAACTTGGAACTTACTCGTGTTAGCCACTGACAAAACAGGAAGTTATTTGAATGCAGTCTGCTTTCGTGGCTTTCCCAACTGGGTTGCCTTGCGACTTCTATTTGTCCTATAAACAACTGCGTAGGAATTAAAAGTATCAGCACAAAGTCCTGTACAAATATTGACTTAGTTGAACTCTGCACACCAACTTTGGGTACACGTTAAATTCAAAGCAGTCTTAGCTCTTTTTTTTTTTTTTTTTGGACAGAAACTGGTGGGGGTGGGGAGAGAAAGGGGGAACTGGGAAGAGAAGGAGAGGAAGTTAAACGTCGCTTCCCTCCCTATCTTCCTTAGAAAACCCAATATGGCATCTTCCATGAGGAGCTTGTTCTCTGACCACAGCAGATATGTAGAATCCTTTAGGAGATTTCTCAGCCATTCCACGGAACACCAGTGCATGCAGGAATTCATGGACCAGAAGCTGCCAGGCATAATAGCAAGGTAACAAAAAGGCGCGTTTGTTGTCACGGGGACGAGCCTGGGCTCTGCGTGCGCAGTGATGAAAGGCTGAGCCCCGCGCGGCAGGCTGGGTGCGGGGATGAGGGCGACTCAGCGCCGGCAGCTGCGGGCCGCCCCTCCGCGCCCGCCGCCCCTCCTGCCGGGCCCCGCAGCCTTCGCTGCACATTTGCTTTAGCGCTCAGCGGCTCTGATTTGTGCTGTATTTCCAGCCGCACAGAGATAAGTGTTAACCGTTTGAAGGCACCATTCCATCGTGCATTTGGGAACAGATAAGATAGAAATCTTTAAACTCAGATTTTTTTCAGCCCGTCTTCAAATTTTACATTTCAAAACAGTCCCACGTGGAATCGACTATTCTTTTTATTAGAAGAAAATGTAAATAATTGCCGAATACTATTTGCCCCTGATGATTGAGTGGGTGCCTCTCTGTTCTCATAATATCCATTTAAATTCATTTTCCTTTATCTGGAATTAGAGTTATCACTTCCCCAAAATTGTCTTTTCCTTTCCAGTTAATATTAGCAATGTTGGCATTTAAAAAAAAAAAAGCGTTTTCCCATTATCATTGAAACTTCGTAGTATCTATCCTTCTGGAAGACTTTTTTTCTTTTTCTGTGATTAATGTGTTCAATTTGTGCCAGAGCTGATAAGCGTTATGAGAGTAACAGATCCCACATGCTAAAGATAATCAAATCACCTATCTAGGGATGAATTGCTGTAACTCCCTCTGCTTCAGGAAATAATGATGGAAAACTGGGAAGAAATGACTGACTGTGGATCCAATTTGCAAAAAGCGAAGAAACCTGGTATTTTATCTTTTGGTGAATTTCTCCATTGTAGGCCTGGAATTCTTTGCCACAGCAGTATCTGTCTTACTAGAGCAGACATTATTGGGTGTATACAGCATCATCCCATCCTTGGTATTCTTTCTCTTGTTTATATGGTTCACTTTTTAAATGTTAGTTTCTAAAAATCAGAGTATTACATAATGTATTATAATTAATGTGTATTAGGATAATGATGCAAAAAATCAAAGCAGATAGCAAAAACACACAACTTATTACCTAGGAGCTAAGTACACTTTACTTCTTTGGGTCTTTTGCTCATTTCTAAAATAAAAGGTGGTGAGTTAATTTCTCTGTTCTTTTCCAATCCTAAGAGTAGGCATTCATTCTGTAGTCAGCCCAACTCAGATCCTTGGTTTTCTTCAGTCACACAGCTTGATCTGCAGAGGTATCTTGGATGGGTCTAATATAATGAATGATGGATTACCCCATCCCACCTTCAAAGTGTACCCAATCTAACTGAAATTTTTCATGTAAAATTTGTGAAAGACTGATGAATTTTCCACATGATAACTAAATTTACATTATAGTGGTAATATATTAATTATATCCAAATTAATGTCCAAATTAAAATGTCATCCATTCAGAAAGTATTTTTTTTCTTGAAAATCATATTTGAAATTATACTTGGCTGAAGGACCTCTGAATTTTTTGCTTGAAGTTGCTCGTAAGTTACCACATTGTATAGTAATGTAAGGGCAGGGTTTTCTGAGTGGGTGGTCACTGTGCTAATTGTACCCAAGCCTGGGTGTTAGTGGGGTATGGATTCAGCGTACTTCATGTACCATTTTGATTAAAGCAAGACATTTTCACACTATAAAAAGTCAAATGGTTCTAAAAAGTTTGTAACAGCAAAAACAGCAACAAATAGTGGTCCCTTGCCCACACACTCCATCTCTGATTATTGTTTACAGAGCCATTATTTTTCACCCTTCAAAATCTTTAAATTGTTTCTTATTGCATTTTCTTCCATAATTCTAAATAGCATGTTATTCTTCTATTTCTCAATTTGGCTATATTAAAATAGTTAAATAAACGTGTATCTTCCCCATCTATTATGTCAATTATTGATGCCAAAAATTTTAGTTAAATAATTGGATGGTGTATGTTATTTTTGCTAAGTACGTATTATTCACAATTGAGCAACAGCTATACTCTAATTAAATTTCCTTCAGTTTTGTGTGTTTCTGAGAGTTTACTAGGAACTCTAGTTGATTGTCCTGATTTTTGTTTCTTTTCTTAGTTTTCTATGTGCCTATCACTATGTTGATGTCCAAGAAAAAGGAATAATTTCTTCTCAATATATTCAAACATATCAAGCAATCTGTATATTTTTTCTTATGGAAACATCTTTTTTGGAGCCCTCCATTCTTTTTTGTCCAGTGTGGGAATATTTGCTACTCAACTGCAGTTGATGAGGGATTTTATTTCACTTTCTAGAAATTCTCTTTTCTTTCCATTATTTACTTCCCTGATGGCGAGTCTCATCCTTACTTTCTTGTTTTCTTCAGTCCATTGTGTTTTCTTATTAGCATATATTAATAGTACAAGGGAGTTCCATTATGATAATTTTGTAGCTGCATACAGTTTACTTTGAACAAGTTCATCCTTCTATTATATTCCCTTAGCTTCCTCCCTTCTTCCCCCCATTTCAAACAGTATTTGGTGAGTTTATATGTATGTGTGTACACATACACACACACACACACACACACACACACACACACGTATGTCACATATTTCAACGTTCTGCATCCCCCAGTATACCTTCTTCCTTCCTTCTCCTCCTGATGATTCTCCTGACAGGCCCCCATTATATTCACATCCCATTATTTTTATTACTATTGTTATGATTTTAGGTCTAGATTCTACATATGAGTGAAAACATATAACATTTGTCTTTTTGAGCTTGGCTTATCTTGCTCAACATGGTGATTTGCAGTTCTGTTTGTTTTCCTGCAGTGAAATAATTTTCATTCTACTTTATGGCTGAATAATACTGCATTGTGTATATATACCACATTTTTATTGGTTGTTGGGCACCTAGGCTAATTCCACATCTTGTCTATTATGAATAGTGCTGTGATGAACATGGGTATTTAAGTATCTGTGTGATATGTTAATTTATACTTCTTGAGATATATGCCCAAGGTCGTAAGATAGATTTATTTTTTATTTTTTGATGACCCTCCATAATGATTTCCTTAGAGGTCGCACTACTTTACATTCCCACCAACAGTGTATGAGGGTCCCTTTTTTCCCTGTATCCATGCCTCAAACTCATTTTTGACATATGGCTGTTTGGTTGTTTTTGTTTGTCTTTGCTTACTCTGAAGTTTATAGAATCTCTCTTTATGTCTAGTATTCTGAAATTTTAAGATAGTGGGTAGGTCTTTCTCATTCATTTTTTGTAAGGATTCCATCAGCCATTTCAGTTGAGATTCAGATACTTCAATTCTGGGAAACTTTGATGTTATTAAATCATTGTGCTCTATTTTCTGGCTTTAGAAATTATACTGATCAAACATCAGGTTTCTTAGATTACTTCTCTATTTTTTATGTATATTTCCAGTATTCTGCAACTTTATCTTTCACTTCATCTACTGGTGGTAATGAATGTGGATTAAGCTTGTTGCTGGGAGATCCTAGGGTATTAGTACAAAAGTTTGTCCAAAGAGTAGCTCTTCAGTTTACTATCTGAGGGTGAAGGGTGGGTTAAGGCTATAGGGTGGTTTTAGAATATACCTCTAAGTAGTAAAGTTTGTTTTTGTTGTTGTTACATTTAAAGCATTCAGTTCCTTACCTGAAAGATAGTAAGTGTTCAATAGTAATTTGTTATCATTATAATACATCAAGTGGGGTAATAAGAGTACCTAATCAGGAGGTGTGAGTATTCAAAGAGTTCATTCACATAAATCACTTATAGCTGTAGTCAGGCGAATTGCTCTCAAATGTTGAGTGCTTTCTCTGTGCAAATACATTTCTAAGAGGTTTAGATGAATTAAATTATTTAATACAACTTCTCCATGACTTAGATAAAATTATTAACAATTCTGTAATGTGGGTGGTGTTATTATCTTATTTCAGAGAGAAGTCAAATAACTTGACTGTAGGTAATATCAATAAGCTGGGATTTCAGCCTGGATGCTCTGCTCCGTAGCCTCCCAATGGCATCCTCAGATAGAAACATTTTTAAGGATGAATAAATGGTATATGGATAGATAGAGATGAGTATAGTAAGCCTCATGATTATAAGTTGGAAGATAATGAGAACAGTACGAGGCAATTCATTCACTGGTTGGTGTCTTTGATTCTAGTCTTTCTATCTTCCTTCAGAACTGGGCTTCAACCCAGCATCATTCACTTTAGCAAAAATACAGGCTTGATTATCATGCCACAACCCAAATAAATAGTCATCACTCTTTCAGTTCCTGTTTCCTTGCTACCTGCCACCTCTTCCATTCTCACTCTTTCATTCTGTTTCAACACTAAATCTGCTCCCTCTTTGTTGAGGCATCTTTTAAATGACTTGTCATCTGACTTCTGTCCTCAACCTTCTTTCTAACCTGCATTATCAAAGACATTCAAATATTTGCCAAACTCATAGGAAACTTTTTATCTTTTATTTGTTCATCACGAGCTATGCTGCCTTTGGCACTCTTGATAGCTATCTCTGTCTCTCACTATCCTAGCACCTCTCCAAGCTCTATCACTTTCCTTCTCTGTCCTCATGAGTTAGTGACTTTTAAAAGATGGCGTTGCATTATCATTCCACAAATCTTCTAAAATGGAAACATCGCTGGATGATGGAGTGTACTCTCCTAGTTTTGATGATTATAGTTTTGATGATTAACTTAGGATACTTGTCCAGAATATACCATTGGCCCTGTTCCCTCTTTCACCCAGCTTAAAGCTTGCATGTACAAATATCTGCTGAGTTCAGACTTAAAAAAAAAAATACTGATAATGTAAACTTGCTGTCAAACTCCATTGTCTGACCTCCATTTTGGAACCACCCTTTGCCCAATCATTTATCCAAGTTTGAAACAAGGCAATTGCTGTATACTCATGCTTTCTCCTGACTCCTTCATGTCCATCTGCAAGTAAATCCTACCAACTTACCTCCTGGTCCATCCATTCCACTCTATTTCTAATACTGGAGTTTTGCTATCTGAAATTTCAACTTGTGAGTAAGTAGTATCTTACTCAATTTTGAACCTTGATCCATAAGAATAAGCTCATAATAAATTTATAATTACCATTCATCTGTTATCTTTTTCCCCCTGCTATAATGAATAGTTTATCATATCAACAGACTTAAAAGTCTAGATTTTCTGTCTTTGTTCTCCAAGAAATCTCCTAGTAAGTGTCATTTCCTATCTCTGAAGTGTTCATAGTGTTGTTTGTAAATCTCCCAGTTCAAGATTGTTAATGAGGAGAACCTGTATTTTTAAAGTTACTCTAAAGAAAGCAATATAGCCACTGAACTGATTAGGAATTTTCATGTTGGCCTAGTTTCTGTTCATTGTAGTTTTTGTCTTATTTTCTTAAAATAGACTTGATAATGAGGTTTTATAAAGTAACTAACAGATTTTTCTAAAACTATATAATTTTTTTTCAGGATTGGAGACACAAAATCAGAAATTAAGATTCTGAGCATAGGCGGAGGTGCAGGTATGAATAATACACTTAAAAATTTGTACTTCACTGCAAATGTCATATTTTTTGGTAGCCAGTGTGGTTCATTCTTATTTGTGTGTGTGTGTGTGTAACTGGGGCTTGAACAAATGCTTCACATTTGTAAAGGAGGTACTCTCCTGCTTGAGCTGTACCTCCTGTCCATTTTGTTCTGATTATTTTGGAGATGTGGAGGCTGCATGAACTATTTGCCTAGCCTGCCTTGAGCTATGATCCTTCTGAGCTCAACTTTCCAAGTAGATAGGATTATAGACGTGAACCACTGGCATTTGGCTTGTTCATTCTTTTGATAGCTACTTTCTTTTGGTTTTGGAAAAAGATCAGTTTATTAACAATAGCAATAAAATTAATGCCTCCATAGATTTATATGGTTTAGGATATTAGCTTTTATTGCTATCTGTAGTGTGGATAAGAGATGTTATTTTCTTACTCTTTTTATAAATGGAAAAAACTAAATTAGAAGCTCCTTTATCCAAAATGATTTAAATATCTACATAAAATGAAAATTTTACAAGTTTCTTAAGCTTATGCCATTTCAAGTATGGTCCATGGACTAGTTACTGGCTGATTAGGAACATTCACTAGAATATAAAGTTGATACATAGTTCCCTTCATTGAGAAAGTTTCACTGTGGGGTAAAACATGATTAATGATGTGGTTAATTTATAATTTTTCTCTTCCACATTTTTATTAGCATATATTAAATGTATAATGTGGGGAGTTCCATGGTGATATTTTCATACTTGTGTATAATACACTTTGATCATATTTATACCCTCTATTATTCTCTTATCCTTCTTCCCCCATCCCCTCTTTTTTATCTTTTATCTTCCTTGTAATTTTTAAATCAGTGTCATTTTGACCCTTTCATACATACATGCAATATACTTCAGTCATATTCTCTCCCCTTTGCCCTCTCTTACCTCCAATTGGTTCCTCCTGAGTAGTTCCACATTTTCGTTCAAGTCCATTTTTTTCTTCAGATCTAGCTTGTGCATATGTCACAAAACATGTGGTATTTGTCTTTCTGAGTCTGGTGTATCTGTTTTCCTGAAAACATAATTAACTTTGTCCTTTTTTATGGGTTAAATAATACTCTGCAGTGTATAGATACCACTTTTTCATTTTTTTAATAGCATACATTAATAGTACAAAGTTTCATTGTCATAATTCCATAGATGCATACAGTATATTTGGATAAGTTTAGCCCCTCTATTATATTCCTTTAACCTCTTCTATTCACTCCCTTTCACTGAATCCCTTTTCTAGACAGTTCCCATTCTATTTTCATGCCGTATTATTATTATGTTGTTACTATCATCATCATTTTAGATCTAGAATCCACATGACTTCAATATTTGGCTTTTTGAGTTTGGTTTATCTTGCTTACCATGATGATTTCCAGTTCCATTCATTTTCTTGCAAATAACATACTTTCATTCTTCTTTATGGATGAATAATACTCCATTGTGTCTATATTGCCACATTTTCATGTCCATTCATCTGTCGATGGACACTAGACTGATTCCATAGCTTGTCTCCTGAGAACAGTGGACATGATTTCAGTTACATTGGCTTAAATCATTCCCTCCTTCTGATTGAGTTCTAAAACTGCATTCTAAGCATTCAAAATACTCCCCAACCTTCTTTGTAGAAGCCTTTCATGGTTTCATTACTCTTATTTAGAGATAGTGCTTTTGTTTTTGGGGAAAATGTCAACTCTGGAAAGTCAGATTGATGTGCACCTCACTTCTAATTGCACTTCTAGTTGATGAACTGTGTAACATTGACTGAGAAATGAGCTTCAGTTTGCTCATCAGTGAAATGGGAACATAAGTCTTATCCCACAGCAGAGGAGTGAAAACAGTGTAGGGATTGTTTACAAAGTGCTCAGTATATTACTATTGTCCCATAATGCAGAGGCTGGTCCTTTCTACAAAAATAAAAGAAGAAGCTTCATCTTAAGACTTGGTGGTTGCTTTATTGTTAAGTTACTTGCCATCTGGAAGTGTGAGTTAATATAGTAATATACAAAATATGTTAAATTTATCTATTTATGCTTTTATTTATACATTGTTCTTTCATCTGAGTGCTGGCTTAATTATGGTCACTGCCAATTGTCTCTTAGTGCCGGGTGATAACTCCTTGAATCTGTTAAGTACAAGTGTTCCCTGCCACACAAATGGCTTGAACTGAGGTCCATATTAACATGGAAAACCAAGAGTCCTCTAGTGAAATTGAATAGCTAGTTATGATGTTATTATTTGTTCATTTTTCATAAAATACACTGTGAAGATGTAATAAGAACTAATCCCTAAAATCACTTTACTTTATTATCACTTTTACCAAAAAGAGAAACCAACAAAGATGAATAAAGAATTAGAGAGTATTTAAGCTAAAATATTCTGTTATTACTTACTGATACTCTAAGCCTGAAGGATTATAATAGTGATGAATTACCCAAAGACAATTCCTATTAATTCACTTTACCAAGACAGTCATTTCTAGTGTACTTTGCATATGTTTTAGGCAACCAACAGGCAACAAGACTATGATTTGATAGTGTCACTCATGCTTGGGTAAGACGAGAACCTTACAAGGAAAAGTAATTAAAAAACAATCTCTATCATGGCCCAGTTAATTGACCTTTTAATATAAAGTTAATGGGAATTTCTAATGCAAATTTATCCAGATGCTTATGAGCTGTCTGAAGAAAGGAGCATTTGGCCTGCACATTGATTCTTTACATCAAGGTGCACGTAGGAGCTAATATAGAGAACTTATCAAAATAAAGAGAGCAACACTTGGAGCTCATCTGATGGAGGCCAAGCATTATATTAATAACAGGTTTTGCTGGGGGAGAATATGAGCACCCTATAGGGTTACTCTTCATAGGAAATTGACCTAAACTATAGGAATAATTCCAAGAGAAATTCAAGTTATAAATTCTTAGTTTTCACCATCCGCATAAGTTACATGAAATCAAAAGCAATGCATTTAAAATCTCTAGGTCTAAGTGTCCTTGTCATGAAAGAGTAGCTAGGAGACGCTTATCTAATATTCTCTTGTTGCCTAGCTGTCAGCACCATATATTGAGGAACTGCCTATCATTACTTCAGAGAATTGGTCTCCCCACATGTTTGCCATCCAAAGTGAAGAGTTTTACGTTACCCTGTGCCTTGATTGCTATTCCAGATCAGTCACTGAACTCTAATCCCTGGCAAATGAAGCTCTTGTACTTCTCCTGTACTTTGTGCTCAGGTCCCATAATACATTTCCTAGGGTCCCACTGCAGGCTTAACTTACTGGCTGTTCTGGTTTCATTGACAAAATGTTCTGTTCTTGGTTGTGTTGGGTCTGGGAACCTAAAGGACAGATGAGTGAGTATCCCCCATGGAGAGCACTATGAGCCCTGCACCCTGAGAAGGAGTTATAAATATGCATTCTTGCACCCTGAGGAGGAGATACAGGGTCTCATAAATCTGTCATGGGGCTGATAAACAAAATGCACTCAGGTTGTTCTCCCACCCCCCAGTAAGGGGCAAACAAACCAGCTAATCAAAGAGAGCCCGTGCACAAATCCACCTAACCTATACCCTAATCCAGAGTTAAAGCGTCCATAAAAAGCCCCAGCCTTCACCTGAGCAGGGAGCCACCAGTTTCTGGGCTCTGCTGCACTGTTCTAGCTGTAGCCTTCCATTCTCTCTAATAAATCCTACTTCATGTACTGGCCTTGTCTCATGAGTCAATCAGCTGCCTCACGAGCCAGTTCTCTGGTCTATGAAGGCAAGAACCCTTGACACTGGCCCACAACATTTCACATTGTCCAGACAGTTGCAGAAGATTTTCTGCATATCTTGTTCAAGTATTCTCTCTGCATTCATAATGGTGTGACTACCTCACCAGTCAAAATTGAGAAGCATACCCAAAGCAAGCAAAATAAAGGCTCCCTAAGTGAAACAGTTGCTTTTATGCCACATAGTGCTCATGTTCTTTGGGTTGTATTTGATTTTCTTTTCAGAAACATGAGCACACATAAGCACTTTTCCTCTTTAGAGGCTGGTGTTTCTGTAGAGAGACTTTATTTCCATACTTTATGAAAAAAATATAAAGGTTTTTAGAAACAGTGTTTAACATTTCAGTTTAGAAGCCAAGCAGTTATTAGGGTATGAAATAGTTCAAAAGAAAAGAAATTGATGGCAAATGACTTGGAGTTGTCTTTAAGTAATCTTCCACATCAATAAAATACAACTGATAAGTAGCACTGTTGTCCACATATTATATATCCTAGGGTTAAATACTACATGAAATAAATACTACACGAGCCTCTCCACCCCAAAGAAAGAGGAAATCAGGAGGAAAGCAAATCATGAATAGAAATACAGACCAAGCAACTTTTGCAGAACCCAAACTGGGAAGATTTTATGTACATATGCATAGGTTTATGTGCTTCAACGATACACAATGAGCAGCCAGGATTGTTTTTCCAAGGTCTCCACGTATTCCTATCATATCAGGCTCAACAACTGTTCTAAGTTTTAAGGGTAGATGCATTTTATTTTAAATCTCAGAAAATCTGCTTTTCAGTTCATCTTCAATATTGATGTTTCCTAAAATTAAATGACCTAATGGAACTTCATTCTTATTCAGCATTTAATGAGTCTTGTCTTTGTGCGAGGTGTATGGGAAAAAAAAGAAACCCATATTCTTTTTGCGCAAATGAGAATACTATTAATTTATAGTGCATATATTTATGCCTGGAAAAATGTACCACAAGGCAATAATGGGCAATGTGTTTTCCTTGCTCTGATGCTGTGCTTACAGGAGAATCATTTTGTCTGTCCTGTGGTTCAATTCTTATGTTTAAATGTCAAAAGGTTTTATAAGGGTTAGACAGGATAAAACTTCAAATAACCTCATTTTATCCAGCTTTCTATTTCTGTATTCATTAACCTGTTGTATACCAATTCAATTGC